TTTACAACTGTCTTTCGCTAAATTTTACTTTCAACAGTATAGAGTCTGGGTGGAACTTATATAATTTTTTAAATAAAAACATTGGGAGCACCCCACCCCAACTATATATTCGTCACAGTATAATTCAATAAAGTTTGTGTATGTCCTTGATTTTCCAAACCAAAAGTTAAACATTAGAAAGCCCATTCCCTTATAAGATATTGTGATTAGTTTTAGTGTTTTGTGTGGGGATTTGTTTGCTTGGGTATTTAGAATGTATCTAAAAGAACTACCTTTCTCTTGTGTAAACTTATGTAAAAGATTTGAATTTTTTTTTTTTGGTCCGTACGATTTCTGTTTCCTTTCGAGTTTAAATAGGAGAAGGAAATGACTTATTTAAGAATCGCCAAGGAAATGGTGAAAGTTGTGATTGCTGATTAAATCGGCAAGATAAATGCTGCGTTGGCATAGGCAAGGAGGGCAACGGAGTGAAGGAAGATGAGAAGGAACATGGGATAATGAGAGTAAATAAGGCGTGTAACATACTGAATTTCTTTTGGATGAAATCCAATAGAAAGTCTGAAGATTGGGTCATCCTGATTGGATACTAGAGGAGGAAGAGGAGAAGAATGAAGGCTGGGGAAGGAGGCCAACTAGCCCATTTTTAGGCTCGTAGTCTCCACAAAATCATAATGGGGGAAGAGATGCCTGGTATGTGATGACTGATCTGGGACATGTAGTGATCACTAAATCTGGTGACAAAAACCCAACGGCCCATTTCACGGCCACCGAAATCTCCAGAAAAGAGATATTTAAGTTCTTAATTGACAAAAACAATTTGTTTTTTTTTTATTTTTGAATGGTTTTTGTGTATGTGTATATTGTTGACAAACTTAAACTTAAATACACCACTATCCTTTTCGTTTGGATAGTAGAGATGTGTGCTTTGGATTGTGTGGTAGTTGTGTTTGGATATTAATTAAAAACATTGGTGTTGGAGTGTCTATGTGACACGCTGGATTGTAGATAACCAAAATAACACTACCATTTCTAATAGATGTTGTAAATGTTTGGACTGCCTATAACAGTAACAAAGTTAAAATTACATTTTCCCTGGACCCTATTAAAACTTAGATCCCCACGGTCTGCTTATAGATATCATACGACCCGCAGTAGGCATGCTAACCTGCAGCCGCCAATAAACACCCCATCTGACCCCTGTAGACGTATATGACTACTCCCATCAACCACCTAGAAACGCTTTCATGGCAAATATCGAAATTTACTGGGAATTGTAACGATATTGGGCAAGGCATCGGTACTTCTGGTTTTTTTTTACACCATTTTGGTGAATGAATCGTTGGTGTTGTTGGTGATACAACACTGATATTATTTAAGATGTCTGCGTTGGGAACATTAAGGGTCAGTGTTGCAAAAAATTCCGGATATCTAAGCGTTTGTTAAAAACGACTTTTTTGGTATGTAGGTATGTTGTACGATTAAAGAAACAGACAGGTGAAGACCATTCATTCGATGCATTCAGCATTAAATGAAAAGATCAATTTACACGGTATCTGACAGAACGGATTTATGTGGATTAGTTAAATACATATCCGAAATCTTGAGTACATCTCACAAAGAATTCAGTTGTAAATCAATGCGCAGATCGTCAACGTATCCCTATTTTGGATGATGACAGAAATAGGACAGTCGGCGACATTCCGAATAATCATTTTTTCCCCTTCTTTTAGCTGAGTAAACATGATCAGTTTTTGTGATGTTTCTCGAAACAAAAGGTTAAATTCTCTATTTGTAAATATTATCAAACAAATGGGTACTTAACATACATATATCAAACAAGACCATGCTTAAAAATACTATTTTGATAAATGCCATGTTACACCTGAAAAAAAAAATGAATAAAAAAAAATAAAATTTATATCATTCGCAGATAATTTTGCGCTTCATAGATGTCCAATTTAGCGTTATATAAAATGGGATATCTTGCAATTTGACACATTTTCTTCATGTGCTTTTTTCTAGTAACGGGTTCAACCAATGATTTTTTAAAATAATTATGTAATACGAAAGTATATTTTTTTGTCAATTTCCCATTCCTATAAAATAAACAATTATATTTATCCTAATAGAGTCAAGATGACACAGTATTTTCTTTGGGTGTCTTACTCAATTACCCTTCCCCTATTTAAACAACAACAACAACAACAATAGAAAAAAGCAAAGCAATACAAGCAAATTATGGCCTAAAGCCGAAAACCTATGCCTGTTTACGATCAATGTCTAAGATGCAAAATAACCGGTTGACAAATCACAAATCTGTCCCTATCTCAGCCCAAATTTGGTTTATCTCCTACACTGTCAGGAATAGATGGCATTTCGCAATTTTTTGCACACTGCAGCTATCAGTGTTGAACATGATATAACTAAAAATATCTGCAACATAAATCTGATCCAATGATTGACGCTTCCTTTGCATTAATACAAAATAATGTACTTAAAATCTTATTGATTATTTTATTATTTGTTAATTTATTTGGTACAGAGTGTCGTTCACTAAACTGTAATTTGCTGTATTACATATCTAAGCTATTAACCGACGTACCCATCTCTTTCACTCTCTCATACAAAGACTAAAATTCATTTTACAAAATGTGCACCAAGACAAGGGTTTGCTTAAACGTTCTACGTCCATAAATCTGATCAGTATGAAGAAGAAGGATATATTTAACAGCTAGCTATCAGAGCAAATAAATTATAAAAATTTTTCTTTACCTTTCCAAAATTTTACTTTGCTTATGCCAGTTTGCGAGCATAATGATACATGTGTGCTCTGTCAATGTCAGAGAGCATGTTAGCAACGCAACCATAAAATTGTATCACTTCCGCTGCCATTATTTGGAAATTGATTGTGAATGATGTTCTGGAAGCATGTTAACACATCCTCGTCATCACCATCGAGAAAAACAACATCAACAGCACTATTGACAAGCCTAAACAATTATACTTCCTGGATAATAAATTCAAAAGCTAACGTATTTTTTCTGGATGTTCTTGACATCCTTTAGGACGGAAATAACCATGAACTCGGAGTTTCACGCCAAATATGTTTCCCAATGGTGTTTTGCAGTGACCTTGGTAGTTGACCCTTTGGAGCACATTACATCCTCAAGAGTAATAGATTAGCTAATTTTTATACATTGGACTCCAAGTCTGAGCTTGATTCATTTTTTGTTTCTCTCTCTGCTTAAATGGCAATCGATGTAAAGTTTTGTGAAGGTTTTAAAATGAGCGGGGAATTTAAAAAGAAATCGACCTACAGATGGACTGTATAGATATGGCACTATATTATTTTATTCCACCGTGTCATGACAAAAAGTAGTACTCATAAGCTGCATTCTGTGATGAATTTATCGATTCTTGCCGTAAATAGCGGCTTTGTAAATCTTTATCCAATAATCAGGCTTACTTAACTGGCCATGTAGTCTAATACGCTTGCCGTTATACATTACTCACACATCTTACATCTCTCAGGGTTTAAGCAGCGACCAAAATGGGATTGTGAGACAAAGATGCCAGTAGTTTTCCCTGGGCCGGTGATTCTTGCCGTCTGTATTCCTGGGTTAATCCTCAACCAAATTACTGTCGGCGGTTTATAGTTTATTATATCCTGAAAGTTTTCAGATTAAGGAGTGGAATTATCCTCTCCAAGACCAATGCATATGAAAGATTATGTTACTCCTAAACGTGTGTACCCTATTCACCACAAAAATGAAATCGTTCTATTTTGTACAGAAGTGAGAGAAAACAATTCGTCACATACACTTGAGTTGGATATAAAAAATGGAAACAACAAGGTTAGGCTTTTATTGTCTTAAAATTTGCAGAGACTCATGGGATAAACCTCATTACTGCCTCCAAATTCTAAACTTTAGCTTTGATTTCCCAACACAGTGGTGCATGTATTGAACGCATTATTCCATCCAAAGGGTTTACATCAGACAAGACGTGACAATGTGCAGTAAGACCAGTTTCAACTGATCACTGAAAGTTGAACATCTTTTGAAGTTTAGAAAGCATTTTTATGATTGGATCATCATGGACCCTGAAAATTGAAGTGGCAATCAGCTCGCTTTGTATCATTGTTGTCTTGTGATTGATATCTGGTTCCGGAAAGTGAAAAAGCTAGTAACTACGCATTCCAGTTTAGTGGTTTCATCCGGGCTCCCTGGTTTACTCAAGCTTAGTCTAAAACCATTTCATGTCAACCCTGAGCCATCGCCATTACGTGGTGGGATGTTTACATACGAATTACTGAACTCCCACAGTAAACATGTAAACATAAAGATAATACCAATACAGTACAAACGAACGGTCATCAAACTTACATTTCTTACTCCAATCCTTATTACAAGCTTCTGTGTACAGAATCCCATATGTCTCGCGGCGTTTATTTTGATCAACACGTGTTTGAAACATGTTTTCAATTCAGTACCAACAGAATCATGTGCTAATTTAACTAATGGATGTTCAAACAAAAACAAACTGAAATTCCATCAATAAAACATTGTTTTGTTCCGTTAAAAATAGGATTAGTTCTCAAACATTATTTTTACAAAAATTTTATTACTCAACCAATCATGCCTATCCAAAGCAATATATGCTCCATTTTATCATAACACCTTTTGGACTGGTTCCCATTCTTCCATAGAATTAGTACTAATTCATACTAGTTTTGCAGACGACATGAAATTCTTCTTCTTCTTCTTCTTCTTCTTCTTCTTCTTCTTCTTCTTCTTCTTATTATTATTATTATTATTATATCGCAACGATGTCTGCAATGTGAGTTTATAGTGATGTCTAGCACTGGGGCATCATGCCGCAGATATATGGCATGATGTCCCCCCAGTCACATTATCCTGACACCAGGCCGACCAGTCCTAACATTAACCTCTTAATGCTTAGCGCCAAGTGAGGCAGCTGTTAGTACCATTTTTTTTAGAAGTCTTTGGTATGACTTGGTTTGAACCTACAACCACCCGCATCCTAGGCGGACGCTCTAACCACAAGGCCACCGGAATGGTTTATTATTATCAGTTTTAGTAGCAGTAGTAGTAGTGGTGGTGGATGTTGTAGTAGTAGTAGTAGTAGTAGTAATAATAATAATAATAATAATAATAATAATAATAATAATAATAATAATAATAATAATAATAATAATAATAATAATGCCTCAAGCATGATAAATAAAATTTTAGAGACAGCTCCTCTCCTCATTTCATATTTTTACTACAAATAACGGTCTGGGCAACACAAACATTTTTTTAAACCGCTATTTAGTTGTCTAAATAGCTACGTTGCAAGGTTGAATAGAAATATTCTCGCAAAAATCACTTGGTTGCTGTTAGAAGGGATGGATTTTCAACTGTTCAGCGATAACCCTTCATGGCCTCGAGCAATTTGATATATTCAACAAGGCAATTGACAAAAAGGTTATCTCTTCAACACGGCTATAGTCCTGGTGTGATGAAACGATTTATTACAGCAAACCAAATAATTCTGAATAGCGACGTGTTTATGAGGTGTTAGAATGTAACCCTGAGAGCTCAGCCCAAAGATCGAGCACGGTCGTCTGGGTTCACTCGTAAGGTGTTAATATAGAGATTTATGTCAAAATAATCTCCGGTCCAATTTAGATCAGGTCACAAGTACCTGTCAAGGTTGAAGAATGAATCAGAAAATCCCCCTCTCCACCCCACCCCACCCCTCCTTCCCACCCCCTCTCTCTCTCTCTCTCTCTCTCTCTCTCTCTCTCTCTCTCTCTCTCTCTCTCTCTGAGTCACCATATTTAGCTTGTGATGTTAAAAATATTCTTTCGTAAAATTGATATTGTTTATCTATTCTTCTTATCTATCTATCTATCTATCTATCTATCTATCTATCTATCTATCTATCTATCTATCTATCTATCTATCTGTCTGTCTGTCTGTCTGTCTGTCTGTCTGTCTATCTATCTGTCTGTCTGTCTGTCTGTCTGTCTGACTGTGTGTCTATCTATCTATCTCTCTATCTATCTATCTATCTATCTATCTATCTATCTATCTATCTATCTATCTATCTATCTATCTATCTATCTATCAATGCTCGGTACTTATTTTGGAATCTAACAAGCAAATCCTGTTGAGTTTATTCTACCTCATAGATCCAATAGATTCAGAAATTCAGAAGCAAACTTTCTTTAGAATGCTTTTGCCAGTATATTCTTTGTTAAGGAGCCGCGGTAGCTCAGTTGGTATAGCTTTGAATTGGTAACCCATGGCCTGTGGGATCATTACCCGCCAATGTTAACTGGGTTGACATCCATAGTTTTCCTTGAGAAAGACACTTACACATAACAATAGCCAATAATAAAAGTGCTGTTTAAACCATCCAGCTAACTATTTTACTTATTTATGATATCTAGTCCCATTTATGCCATCTCAAGATTTTCATTCAGTGTCTTTTAAGTTATTCCTGGTGGTGGTGGGGTTTAGGTTAAAATTTCAGGGAATTGTTTCAATTGTTTAAATTCTATCCATGCTCGGCTAAACCACTGCCTTGTGAAAGTCTGTCAAAATCAAGACAGGAAGACTTAATTTCATGATTAAAGCTTCTAAACAAATAAGTGTTGTTAAATGAGTACTTGAAATTTGGGCTTTCATTTGGAAGAAAAAAATCAGTGTTGACCATTATTTCAGTTACAATTTAAGCATGAATGTCATATTTTAATTTGAAGTTCCATAAATTTCCCCTCTGTCAATGAATGTATTCTAGTGTAACTAAATTTCGAGATTCCCGTGTTATTCAATATATTCATCTATAAGCTTTGCCAATATGAATATTTTTCCTGTTTGAAGTGCCCAATTGTAAATTTTTGATGAAATTTAAATATTTTTATAATATGCTACTTTTGTGACTGGATAACACTTGTAATGGAGCAACGGTTTTGTTGTTAAAGAAGACCAATCGATACGTTACATATGAAAATTTATTATATGCTCATCTTTTTCTCCGTTATCTTTACATTGTCATAATCGTTCAATACTTCCTGATATTGAACACAGTCATATTTACTGACATCCTCATACTTGATACACGTGAGCGCGCGGAACATTACGAAGTTAAAAGGTTGGTGGGCGGGGCTATATGCGCATGAATACTATTTATATTGTGTATTTATAGGTTACTGTATTTGTGTGGGAAAATATGAACAAGTTTTTCGGATGGATATACTGCACTACCTTGGGAGTGCAGTATATCCTTCTGACAAAACGAATTCATATTTTTCCATACAAATACAGTAACCTTTTTATTATATGCTCATTTCTTATTCTTCCTAAGGCTTAGATATATAAACATAAATATACTGAAAGAAACAAAGTAACTAAATTTACGCCGTATTCCGAACTAAATACATAAGCGTTGATGGATTATTACACAATATTATTATTGAACGCATAACTCCGCCTAGATAAATATGAAGTTGGTCGCGCGCTAGACGTAAGTTTCGAAAGGAAATGGCGCTTTTTTCTTCTTAAAATTGAAATTTGGAGTAATATTGTTGATGAATGCGCATTGCAACAACTTTTCCATTTGATCCTAAATAAATACTTTTTAGTATATTTGTCGATTCAACGCAATTTTTTGATTATGGTCTGGATTTATCTACATGAAATGACTTGCATCGGTTTCCAGCAGCGTCTGCCAATTTAATGTTTTGAATTGTGTTGACATCGGCATGTGTGTTTTATTTCTGTCATTAAATGATTCAGTTTACAATGTGGGAAAATTATGAAGCCTTTCCATTCCAATTATCGAAAACACACTGTGGTATTTAATGCTTATTTCATTTTGAGTGCAGTAAGGAGTATGTAGCTACACTTGGAATATTCTCGAAATTACAGTACAATTTCAAAATGTGTAATCAATATTGAGAATCCATGACATGGCTCATCTAATTCAGATTTACAGACCTACGAAAATATATTTTTTGAGGAAATTCCGGATGTAAAATTGAAAGCATATTTTTGGCCATTTTTATTAACAGCTAAAGAAGACAGTTTATGTGTTTAACTTGCATTTTATTGTCAGGAACGTGTAAAGCGTCAATATATAGTTAAATTTGAAACATTGTATCAAAAAAGTAAACGCGGAATGGGCAAAAGCAGTTTGTATGTGTCAGTCTATGAAACATTTGCTAGAATGTGGCCGTCCATGAAATATCTGCTTTAGTTCATTCATAAAAAATTGTTTACGTTAGAAAATAGTTCCTTTGCACGAGGGATACAATATGAAGGTGTTCAATATCGGTTAATATTGAACGGACAATGTAAAGTTAACGGAGAAAAAAGATGAGCATAAAATAATGAAGGCATCTACGATTCTGAACCTTATTATTTTAATAATAATTAATCAATTTTATTATTAAATATATTTGTTTGTGAATTTTATTTATTAAGTATTAGGTAATGAAACAAAATGAGCATATAATAAAAAGGTTACTGCATTTGAATGAAAAATATGAACTCATTTGTTTTCTCGGATGGATATACTGCACTTCCAAAGTCGTGCAGTATAGCCATCAGAAACACTCGTTCATATTTTCCCATACAAATGCAGTAACCTATAATTATTTTATGCTCATTTTTTTCTCCGTTAACTTTACATTGTCAGAATCGTGCAATATTCCCCGATAATGAACATCTTCATGTTGCACCCCGCACGCAAAGAAACTATTTTCTAACGTAAACAATTTTTTTTATGGATGAGCTAAAGCAGATATTTCATAGACGGCCACATTCCAGCAAATGTTGCATAGACTGACTGACACATGAAAACTGCTTTAGCACATTCCGCATTTACTTTTTTGATACAATGTTTCAAATTTAGATAGATATAGACGCTACACAGAGTCCGCATAATAAAACGCAAGTTATACACATAAACTGTCTTCTTTAACTAATAATTAAAATGGCCAAAAATATACTTACAATTTTACATCCTGAATTTCCTTAAGATATATACTTTCTGTAAATCTGAAATAGATGAGCCATATCATGAGTTCTCAAGTTTGATTACACATTTTGAAATTTTACTGTAATTTCGAGTATATTCCAAGTGCAGTTACATCATCCTTACTGCACTTAAAATGAAACAAACATTAATTCCACAGCATCTTTTCGATAATTAGAATCGAAAGGCTTCATAATTTTACCACATTATGATCTGAATCATTCAATGACAGAAATGAAACACGCATGCCGATGTCAACACAATTCAAAACGATTAAATTGGCAGATGCTGCTGGAATCTGATGCAAGTCACTTGATGTAGATCAAATGGAAAAAATTATTGCAATGCGTATTCATTAACAATATTATTCCAAATGTCAATTATAAGAAATGAGTATATAATAAAAAGGTTAGTGTATTTGTATGGGAAATATGAACTCGCTTTGTCGGAAGGATATACTGCACGACCTTGAGAGTGCAATATATCCTTCCGACAAGACGAGTTTATATTTTCCCAAACAAATGTACTGACCTATAATTATTTAATACTTTTGCTTGTGAATTTGTATATTAAGTCTTTGGTAATGAAACAAAAATGAGCATATAAAAAAGGTTACTGCATTTGAATGGAAAATATGAACTAGTTTATTTTCGGATGAATAGTTAGCACTCCCAAGGTCGTACAGTATAGCCATCCGAAAAACTCGATCATATTTTCCCATACAAATGCAGTAACTATAAATTCTACGTTACATGCGACAATATCATAATATATAATTCTACGTTACATGTGTCAAGATCATGATATATAATTCTACGTTACATGTGTCAAGATCATGATATATAATTCTACGTTACATGTGTCAAGATCATGATATATAATTCCACGTTACATGTGTCAAGATCATGATATATAATTCTACGTTACATGTGTCAAGATCATGATATATAATTCTACGATACAATAAAATTACCATTGTTCACTTATTTTTATCGATATTGTCTGTACAATGGGAGGAAATAAAT